GTCTGTAGGTGGTGCTAAAAATGTTTTCCTGCTTTGATCTGAAAACCTGATTCACAGTCAGGGCTGTGACCTGCTGGTGATGCCCTTTATTTTATTGCGACTTCAGCCTGCATTTCCTTTCTTTTTATTTTAGTTTATCAGAACCCATAGTGCAGTGAGCTAGGAAACATGCCTCATGATAGGTTTGTTTAAAATTATGGGATGTTTTGAGGTGCTTCCTGAACTCATGCTGGTAAGTGTAATGCCTACCCACTGATGGTTTTTCTGTTGTTTTCCGAGAATCCCATCTCAGGGCACAGGGCTCGGTTCTGGTCTTCTCAAGGCTTGGTATAAGCCGCTGCAGTGCTGTGGCAATGGCATTCCTTGTTCATCATCTGAAAGCCACACTGAAGGCAAGCAGTGCTTTTTTATCTCTAATTTCAAGGGCAGGTTATGTGTCTCCATTAGTCACAAAAGCAGAGTACTATGAAAAGCGGTTGAATGTCATGGCATTTTGCTTTGTGTTATTTTAAATGTAAATGTTCTTTCTTAGCATTTTATTAAACTTAGAAATCCACAAGAGAAGATTCTAGGCTTTTCTGCTCACAATATAGGTGTGTTCTCACGACTTTGCAAAGTCGTGTCACTCACAGTTTTGCCAAGCTTTTTGTCAAACCCTTCTGCAATAGCAGTGCAATACCTTGTGTTTCTCTCCTGTAGTTTAGAAAGCATTCAGAAAGACTCTCTGGTACACGCATGCAACCCATTCTGTGCTCTGATAACTGGTAAATGACTGCAGCAGTTTTAACAATCAGGATGCCATCAATGAAACTGAAAACTGCTATTTTAACAGTTGGAAAATCTCACATTGACATTGTTGTCATTATTCAGCAATCACACTACAGGTTTAAAGTTAAAATTGTTGTTATAATTTCACTCTTTACCTGTGTGATTTCTATATTCTTATTTTTAGGAGTCGTGGGCACATGTGCTGAAATGCAAAACGAATGCAAGACCAAATCGCAGGTTTGTGCAGCAGCTTTCAGACTGGGAGCTGCGTGTTCTGGGTGAGAGGGCCACAGACATTGCAGAGCCACTCTACTGAATGGGTACACGGGCCGACCCATTCTGACTGGGCCATTAAGCCCTGGAATAGGCCATGACCCCTTTCTGCAGCCTTCACCGTAAAACTGAAAACAAAAAGATGAAATATACAGTTCTATCTTTAATTTCACTGTGCAATGGTTGACCATTTGATTATTGGAATTAGTTAAATGTATTAATCATGGTCTCCGCATTTATTTATTTCACACAAAATAAAATTATACCTGTACATACATTGTAATTTGTTTTGTGTTATTAAAAATAGGTATATGCTGATGTTGTGCATGGTGGTGGAGTAGGCACATGCCTGTTTTATTATGAAAACCTATATAACACACCCCTTCTAAAAAAATGTGGTTTGTGTTTTGTGAATGTACTGTATTGTTTTGAGCACTGGAACACATGAGTTGGATGGGGATGTGTAGCGTGATACATGTCTAATAATATTTTGGGGGATAAGGATGGAGTTCTGCAGTTGGTAAACTCTTATCACATTAAAAGGGTATGAAAAAACTTTACGGGAATTCCAGGTATTGTCTATAACAGATTTTTTTCTATAATTAAATGGTATATACATTTCTTCCTCTTTATTTATCAAAGTAAATATTGAGGGCTGGTGCATCCTTGGTCAACACTCTGCTAGAGTTGTAGTAAGGTTTAGTGCAATAGTAAGATCTAAAGAACTTAGCTATCCGTTACAGACACATGGAGAGCCAACAGGCAGCGGGCTTCCCAAATGAAAGTGAATCGCTGCTCTTCCCCGTGTTACGGTTTTCACTTTGTCCTTCTAAACGTGGGAGAGGTGCGCGCACGATCAGTGTGACGTCACACTCCGGGGGGGGCTTCCTATTGGGCGGAGCCGTCCAGTCTGAACCAATCAGCGCACGGGGCGGGGCCGCAGTCTGGCGTCTCCGGCTTCTCTTTGAAAGGAAACCCTTCTCAAAGCCCGGCAACACAGGGGCCCATTGT